TGTGCCTGACCAAAGCCACAGTATTTTCAATTGTCTCATATGCATGTGGCTTAGTGCCTAAAGCATTTGACTGCTAATCAGAAAGCTGATGGTTCAAACCCATCAGTCACTCGTCAGAAGGAAGGTTGGACAATCTACTTCCGTAGTGATACTATTTCGGAAGCCCAAGGAGGTATTGCTATGAGTCAGATCTGACTCAACGGCAGTGAGCTTATATGTATGTGAAAGCTAGATAATGATTAAGGAAGATTGCAAAGGAATTGATGCATTTTAATTGTGCTGTTTGCAAAGAATACTGAATGTAGTATGCACTGCTGGAAAAATGAGCAAATCTGTTCTGGAGGAAATACAGCTGGAATGCTCCTTAGAGGTAAGGATGGTGAAATTTTGTCTCATAGTCTTTGGACATGTGATCAGGAGAGACCAGTCCCTACAGAAGAGAATCATGCTTGCTAAAGTAGATGGTGAAAAAGAGAAAGACCCTCAATAATATGGATTGACACAGTGGCTACAACAATTGGCTCAAGCTTAGCAGGGATTGTGAGGAGGGTGCAGGACCAGGTAGTATTTCATTCTGCTGTACACTGGGTGGCTATGAGTCAAAACCAACTTCATAGACCCTAACAACAACATTATAAAACATTTTCTGATTTACTATATGATCATGCTAACCTTTTATTTCACTCCTTTACATCATATTCTTTCTACTTTTTTTTTTATATCTCTGTAAAAAAAAAACTATTTTGACTAACTCTTGAGACACTTGCTGATTTTATCATCAGAGTGTTCTCCCTACTGTAATAGATTCCCTTTCCACTATTTTAATAGTCCTTCATCTCTGGTCCCTTATTACAATAGCTACCCATCCCTTCTGCAACAAAACAAAACAAAAAACACTGCCATGGAGGTGATTATAACTCAAAAGAACTCCAGAGGGTTTCCAAAGCTGTAAATCTTTATGGAAACAGACTGCTTCATCTTTCTCCTGTGGAGCAGATGAACTGCCTACCTTTTGGTTAGCAGCCAGATGCCTTAGCCACAGCACCACCACAACTCCTTCCCCTTTGCAATAAGGGAGTGTAAATGGCTTGTGCTTGACTAGCGACCTAAAGGTTGGCAGTTTGAAACCACTCAGTAGCACATAATCCTTTGAATAAGAATTCAAACATGGCTATTTGTCAATAAATGGACAACAACACTTGTTGCTGAGGATTTGAAGAAATTGGTACATTCACACCTTTGTTAGTGGGACTCTAAAGTAATGCTGAATCTGTGGAAATAATAAAGTTTAACCTAGAATCATCATATGATCCAGCAATTGTATTTGTAGTTATATAAGATTTGAAAGCAGGAACGTCAAGACATACTTGTACACCAGTGTTCACTGCAACACTATTCAGAATAGTCAAAAGATAGAAACAATTCAATGTCCAACAACAGACAAATGGGTAAACAAAATGGAATATCCACACATTGATGTTTGATACATGGTCTGACAAGTATGAACCTTGAAAGAATTATGCTGAGTGAGATAGATATAAGCAAAGGGACAAATATTGTATGATCTCATTTATATGAGATATCTAGAATAGGCACATACATAGAGATCAAAGTATACTTGTGATCACATGGGGAAGGTAAATGATGGAATGTGACATCTGTTGATAAGGATTACTGAGTTTCTGTTAAAGGTGATTAAAAATTTTGGAAATAGTGGTGATGGTGACACAATATGGGGAATAAAATTAATGTCATTGACTAAAAAACCAAACCAAACTCATTGCCGTTGAGTCGGATCTGACTCATAGCGACCAACCTCTCCTTGGGTTTTCGAGGCTGTATCACTATGGAAGTAGATTGCAAAAGAGGATTGAAATCACAGATTTTTTGTTGTATGTATTTTTACTACAATAAAAAGACCTGAAAATGTAATGACTATAGAAGTATTCTAGAGACAATATTAATATATGTCAGTGGGAATTTATACCTCCAAAGGCACTACTTTTCTGTAAATGAAGAAGTTATTCTTAATTAATTAAACTTCATTAACCTCGAACTTCATACCAGAACACTTGAAAAAATAGGCATTAAGTCCATTATTTTGTGATTAAAGTCTGTGGATGATGTTTGACAGTTGGAAACAAGTATGGATGAGAACAGAAGGGCAGCTTTCACTAGTTATGTACAAAGTCATACTTCATGAACAGTAGATGATTTTAAAAGCTGATGGACCAGAACATGTCCTGTTTTCTAATAATGGAAACAGGATCTCTTTTACTCTATGACTAACTGCTTCATCCTTGAGAATGTCAAAATGTTGCATTTACAAGAGAAATACTCAACAAAGATATACTATGAAGTCTGTTATTTTATGCATGTGATCTATGGCCAAATTTTTTACAGTATATTTTCCTGTTTTAATATTTTTTGAAACTCCTCCAGTTACAGGAAGAATCTTTAACCATGTATCTATACCAGTGAGAAAAACTTGAATTTGTAGAGTCCTTGACAAATCCTTGAAGCTTATGTACTTATTCCAAAAACCAGGTATGATAAATGCCATGTTCTAGTTTTATTTTACTGTAAAAAAATTTTAGATATTAAAAAATACGAAATACCTGGAAATCCATTTGAATATTAGATAATGTTTTGAGAACTGAGGATTTTACTCAAATGAAACAATATTGTCATGTTCCCAAATTGTTTACCTTTTGGTTGAGGAAACTGACAAACATACAGAAATGCCCAGGAGACAATTGGGTACATCCATATAAATTCTGGGGTCAGAAATTTAGAGCTGTATCTAGGGAATTAGGAATTAGCTGACTATAGGTGACAACTAAACCTAGTAATATGGATGCAATTATAGGAAAAATGTTGTTGTTGTCATTATGTACCGTTGAATCAGACCTGACTGGTAACATCCCCTCCTTGGATTTCCCAGGTGGTATCACCACAGAAGTAGATTGCCCAACCTTCCTTCTGAGGAGTGGCTGGTGGGTGAACTGCCAGCCTTCTTGTTAGCAGTCAAGTGCCTTAGGAACTATACTACCTTAGCTTTGGTAAAAATTAAACTGAGTTAAGAGTTTTAGGAGCATCAATATTATGGAAAAGAGAAAGAAGAAAAGTCCATGTAAAATACCTAGAAGAAAGGGGCAAAGAAAGAGATTTTATAAGAAGGTTCACCAGGAAGTTAGTCTTAGTCAATAGAACCAAATAGAATGGAACACCTAGGGGAAAAGTACTCTTTTCAGCTACAATTTTTGCATTTATAAGGCATAATATTAATAGTTATAATAGCAATATAGGAACAATATTAATAGTTGTAAGTTTAATTGAGAAAAAAATATATAAATTACCCAGCAATAGTTAATCAGTTAATTGTAGGTACTATAGTCATTATTATTAACTTTGCCACAATGAACATCATTGAAGAGAATATATTAGAGGGAAAATTTTTAGAAGTATTGAAAGAGTAGTTTTGAACTAGAGGAAGGTCACCATATTTTTTGAAATTGAAAGAGAGACGTAACATTATGTTCAGATTTAGATCAAGTAATTAAAGTGTCATATTAGGAGATAGAGTTTATGCCTGGTGGATTCAACATTATCTATGAACAGGATTATCTAGACAAAAAATTGTTTTCTGGTGAGATAAACTGGAAGCTTAAGGAGAGTTGAGGAAGGCAGCTAAATCTAATGGCAACAAGAAGTTCAGGTAAGCAGTTTTCAGCTATTTGCAAAATTCAGGAAGCATAAACTTACTTTAGAATCCAAGTGCCTAGATGGAATAGCAGGAGAAATAGATTTCAGAGTTTTACATGGTTGAGGTTTTTTGAGGTGGAATTGGGTAAATACAGAGGGATGAAGGGATTGTATAAGCAATCCAGATATGATTTGAAAAGATCGAGGATGAAGTCTGGACTGTCTGAAAAAGGAAGTGAGTCGCTAGTGAATACAGAGAACAGAATCCAGTCAAAGAGTGAAGGGATTGATAGTTCTATGAAGACAAAGAAAAATTCTCTTAGATTCTTACTGTTCTCTCCTTTTAAAATATATGTCATATGGTACCCATTTTGGAAAAGATCTTCCAAGTTCAGGCAGAATAATAAAGGAAATGAGGCTAAGGGAATTGGTTAGAATGGAATACAACAGGGGAGTAAAAGGACTGGAATATTCTGTGAAGTCAAAGAGAAGTTTTCCAAACCTCACATCTTTTCACCCATCAAAAACACATGTAATATGTCATTTCCCTGACAACAAACCTCCAATATCTTCTCATCACAAACCAAATGCTTACTGCAAATAACTAAACTCAATTAATTTTTCATCCCTTCTTTTGCTCCCTAATCATCTTTGCTTTAATTTTCTCAATTCCTCTGTTTTCTCTGGATATGCTTATTCCCTTGGAGTTTCCTCTCATAACCCATATACACATTCAGCTGTTAGCTTTTACTGTTTAGTTTGCTGCTACTTTAATGAGGGGGACATCAGAAGGCTTACGTTCTTCTCAGTGTCTGACTGATTTCTTTAGTGTGACAATGTAAAATGAGATAGAAAGATCGAGGGATCTGATGAAAGTCTGGATTAATGCTGGGGCAAATTATGAGCATGAATAAATCATAGGGAGGGTATAATGAGGGCAGTATAGTGCTATTAGTGCTATGAACCAAGTGTGGTTGAAGAACATAATCTACAGTATTCAAGATTATCAATTATGAGAAGCAAAATTGTAATTAAACCCAGAAAGTGTCCCAAGTTCTTTTGGTGGTTGCTAAGCTGGTTTAAAGTTGGTTGTTAAAGGACTGTTTATATTAGTATCATTTAGCTTAGTCTGCCAATATGAATGATAGAAATGACAACTACCACAGGATGCACTTGAAAATTTATTTTTTTGGGAAAATAAATGTGGTTCTATAACTCAGAGAGAATGGTGAAAACATCTTAAATAATCATCAGCACAGTACATATGAAATCACAGTACAGACCCAACATATTCATTATGAACTAACAGGAAAAGTATAAACAATACAGGGAATTTCTGCAGTCTTCTTTTGGCTCAATATTGGTATATTTTCAATAAGCCTATCCAAACATACTCGTTGTGTGAAGTGATGTGATGGATAAGAAAGCTGTATAGAAGATGGATTGTCCAAACCTAAAAAGAAAAACAAACAAACTCAAAAGTATGTTATCTATAAAACATGCATCACAGACTATAAAATATACTTGTATACAGAACGCAAACACACTCATCCACCCCATTCCACCAGAATGAATGCTACTATTTATAACTGTTATTAGTTAATATTTTCTACTCAACATAATACCTAGCAATAGAAGACTTCTAATCTGTATTTGTTAAACAAATGAATAAATGAATGAATGAAAGTTTTCTTCAATGCACTATATAAAAATAACATGTGTATTTATTAATTAAATGTTTGTGTTTTAACTAATTTTGAAAGTATGTTTTAATTATTTTACTTACATGCAAAATAGTTTATTAAGCATACAAAAAATGATTGGTTCTTACATTTAAACCACTCGATGTAATCAGAATCTGGATTTTAGTAAAATATTTGTATTAAGCAAAAATACTTTTGGGTTGATTTTTTTTTTTTTTTAAATAACTTTAAAGCTAAATTCTTTGAAATCCTTTGTGCATGTTTTGGTTCTCTGTTTATTTTATTTTTTCCTCAATTTCAATATTTCTGATTAGTGTATTTTCTGCCATTGGTTTGCTTAGTCTATTTCTAATAATCCAAAGGACTTAGCTTAGGATTTATCTCTGATATGTCCCTTGATCTTTCTTTCTTCCTTCCTTCCTTTTTTCTTCCTCCTGACGTATTCTGCCTTAGCCTCTACCTTAGCATTCAACACACTGTATTATCATTTCTGTGTCATTTTGTTTGAGATTGATCTTAATAAATAAAAGTTTGGTATCTCATTTCTGTATCTCTCAAGTCTTTCACATTATGTGACACATACCAAGCTTTCAAAAATCTGGAATGAATGTATAAACAATGATAACAAAGACGATATTCCCATTTATAACATACAACTGTAGTTTTCAGCTTTTATCCGTAACAGTTATGTTATTATTTTCCTCATACAACATTGTTATGGAAAGTTGTCTGAATCTTTTTCATCATCAGGAAGATCAAAATAAGAAAGAGAATTAAGGTTGGAACAATTTTGCTGGAAAGCTAAACAAGTCTGCATTTCAAGAATTTCCCACCCTTCCTACGGTGCTGTTTGGCATCCACAGTGGAACGGTTGAGCTTGAATTTCTATATTTGACTCTGAGAGCTTTTACTTTCCCAGAGTGATCTGGAAAATTTATTTAACCTCTTTGAGTCTCAATTTACTCATCTCACATTAACTGATAATATTAACACCATTGTGTTGTGTGTGTGTGAGCATGAAATTAGTTAGCTTGGACAAAGAATTGGAACTGTGACTAGCATACTGTAAACCTTCATTAAACGTCAGCAATTATTATTCAATTTCTACTTTGCCATGGTGCAAATGTATATTTAGAATATATAAGAGACCAGAAGATTAATTTAGTGACACAGACTTCCAGAACAGAAGATAACCCGGATACCCCAATGGTGTCATAAGAAACATAAAAAGTAAAGAAACATAAAAAGTAAATACACAGACAGCACCACTGCTTTGTGTCACAGCTTCTTTGTGTGTTTATCATGGCTCTAAATCATTGGCTAACTTGTCAAAGAAAGAAATCAGGAAAAGTAGCAAAGTAGGTTTTATGTATTTCAAAAAATAATGACTTTTCTAAAGAAAATGATAGAGAAATTTAGTTTTAAAGGCTTGAATTGTGTTACTCTCTTGGTATTATTTATATATCTTCCCTAAACAGAAATGCTGATTCTGATCTTATTTAACTTAAAAGTGAAAGGAAAATGCCTACATGAACTAAACAGTCTATACGGGCAAAGATGGTCATAAGTATTTCTAGCCAGAGCTATTGCTTCTGGGCTGAATATATATATATATATTCTCTCCCTCTCTCTCTCTCTCTCTCTCTCTCTCTCT